TATACGTCTATGGACAGTCGCAAACAACATGCGCAGGTTGAGTGGTTTGCACATGTCACCCATAGGCCTAGATCAGTGTTTCCCAACGTACTCCCATCACTTTAAGCACAGCACAACATTTGCAGTGGGGAGTCAAGGGGGCAGATCCTCCGCTTGGGTGAATCGTCATAGCCCCATTTCAGTGGAGTAGGAGCTATGACCTGCTGAGGATCTCCCCCAAAATTGGATCTAGGGTCATGTAGCTTTTCCCACGCTTACTGCACTTGTCCTCTGCCCTGCACCCCTGGGCTGGGAAGCTGCGCCAGAGATAAAAATACCAATGTAGTGCATTAGTTTTGTGTAATCTGGTGTTTGCATAGTCGTATTTCAAACATAACACATGTAAAGTTTTAATTAAAACGTCACTAATGACATTTCTCAATGTATCATTATTTGCTGGATCATCTGAAACTTCCTTTTTCTTCCCTGTGTGTAAATTGTCTATTTACTGACACTTTATTCCTACAAATATCTCCCACCAACCCTCCTCACACAGATAAGGAATATGTTACCTCTCCTTATGTTACTTGCGTATTAAGAATGTTTACAAATAGTTAAGGGGGTTCAAATATTTTGATAGTTAAAATTTTGGAACTGGTTTGAATTGTATGTGAAAGCAGATCATTTTATATAGAACGTGGTGCTTTTTCCAAGGAACTAAAAAGGAAAATAACCCAACAATGAATTTTGTAACAACAACGTGTTAGCTTGTTCTCCTCCTTTGGATCCCTTCTCAAAGCTCTCTTCTGTAGTCAGTGTTCTTTCATGAATCTCCACTCTCATGCTTCCCAGGGCCCCTGACTTCTCTTGCCTATAGTAGGACTAAAAGTCAAATACACAAAATGTCGCAAATACCCCAAGAAGCTAACGAGCACAGCCCAAAGTTCCGGTATGTGACGCACCGAAAAAAAACATATAACACTCCGTTGAAGGCTTTCCCTCTCTCCATTTGCATTGTCACTTCATTAATCTCCCCTAGTGTTGAAATTTTCTTTACTCATGGTATTAACGGTGTATAATTGTAAGCTCTTTGGGGCAGGGAATCTTGTCTTGTGCATGGGGTGTTAGGCTGAAAACATCTATCATGACATATATCTGATAATAATGTACATCATCAAACATGTTGCTTCATTCCTGGGCTACCTTAATTTTAAAATAAACAATATTGACATAAAACAGGTGGGGTGAAGGTGAATTTTCAGTGGTGGTGGTTGGGGTGGAACTTAGCTCTTTTCTTGTGGGAATTTGGGTAGAAAGGGTTTCAAAACTCCTCGAAGATTATGGGAAATGTTGAAGTGTCACTTTAAGGCTTGAGAATGAAATGATTTCTATAGTAGTTGGTATATGTTTTGGGGGGCAAAGCTTTGTTTTTATCATGCTTTATGAATTTTCGGATGGTCTGGCGTGATATTTTTCTTGCTTAAAGTTATAGATGTCTGTGGACTTGCTTCCCTTTTAATGAAACTAAACTGAGCAAGATTTGCCACACAGTGTAGTTTTGGGTTAAAATGGCAGATTTGGATTTGAGCTATAATAGGACGTGCCATTCTTCTACGTCTCATTAATGCCTCCACCAGAGAAGCCTGTTTTAAATGTCCAACTACATGCTCTCTCTAAACAGGCAGAAGGCAAAACCACAATAAGTGACTTTTGATTGAGAAGGAAAGGAGGGACTCAAACCTTTCATCTACCCCATGTGGGCCGGTTCATAGACCTTAGCGACAGACACAATCTTTTAGGTAGGATTGGCAGAACTTGATTTTTATTTTGTTGTAATTTTGATGGATAATATGTTTATTTTTAAGCATTTTTCCCTCCAATTTTTATCAATTTAAATGTTCATGGTTACATGAAATTGGGAGTAAGGGGGAGTCAACATCACATGTCCAAATATACTAAGTAAATGTCCTTAGCATTTTTCTTATCTTGCCTGTCTCTACATTTCAATCCTCATCAATGGAAATATTTTTCGCCGGTTTGTGTGTATACGGTGAAATGGACGTTTTCCAACATTTACCCATAAAAATCTAATCTGTCTAAGATTACTTTTAAGTCATCTAGTCTATCCCAGAGCCTGGCAGGATTGTTTCCTACAGTGCTTTGGCAAGTGCTGATTATGGCAGAGCTTAGTAGTATAAGGGGCTTACCATCAATCAAACGTTGGCCCCGTCCCTGACCTGTCAGATCCCACCCACCTGTCACCCTAAGACCCACCCCCCATGGGGTATTACTTCTAGGGTCAAGATGGACACATGACCGGAAGGAGCTTACTGACTTGGACTTAATTTCCTTTTGTGGCCTTCTCATTAAGATTTAGTCTTTTACTGTCCCTGAGGCCACGTCTACGTTAGGGGCAGTACGACAGGGCGGAAGTTATGCTGCCATAGCATAGACGCTTCACACAGCACTGGACGGGGTTGTTCTGTTGATGCAGGTCATCCATCTTCCCAAATGATGGTAGCTAGGTTGATGGAAGAATCCTTCCATCAACCTCCAACCATGTCTACACCGCGGTGAAGCGCTGCGACGACTCACCGGCATGGTGCCTCCTGCTGGTCATCTTGGGAATTAGCTCTTCCAGCCCGGAGCGGCCTCTGCAGGCCAGTGTCTTGCTGTCCCCGTGTCCCTTCTGGACCCCGGTGTCCTTTTTCCCTTGGGGTTCCCCAGCAGAACCCCCTCACTCTGAGTCTCCCCTCCCAGGGGAACCCCCAACCCTCTAAACCCACCTTGCCTCAGTGGCTACTGCCAGTCATCATCTAGCCCCCGCTCGCTGGGGCAGGCTGCAGTCTGTAAGGGCCAATCATCACTGGCAAGGGGTTAGGATCTGCTGCCTTTGCCTATCCCCGGGCTGCCCCTCTGCAGCCCCGGTAGCTTTTGGGACTTTAACAAGGCCTGCAGCCTGGGGGTTTACCAGACTGGAGCGCCCCAGCTCCCTTTGCCCTTCTCCAGCACTTCTCCGTTTCAGGTACCTTGCTCCCAGGCAGCAGCCCTTCCCACTCCAGGGCTGGAGTGAGACTCCTTCAGTTTCTGGACCCCAGCCCTCTTATCAGGGCCAGCTGGGCCCTGACTGGGACGTGGCCCCCACTGTGGCTGCTTCCCCCCATCAGCCTAGCTGTTCCCAGCCACAGCCCTCTCCAGGGCTGCTTTTAACCCCGTCAGAGCCGGAGTGGGGAGACCACCCCGCTACACGTGGGTTAGCTCAGATTAACTACGGCACTCAAGGGTATGAATTTTTCACACCCCAGAGTGTCATAGCTATGTTGACCTATGTGTAGACCCTGCCGGTGCGTGTTATCTTTTTATGTAGGAAGGGAGTGATGGCCGGCAAATGTGCACCTAAGGAAAATATTAGCAAAGTCATCTGTTTCACAATCCCAGTATTGTGTTTCCCAGTATTTCCCAGGTTAAGTGAAATGAGCAACCTAATTCCCCCCTAAACCCCAGTACAATTCAATATCCCCACAGGGTTTCTGAGCTTTCCAGTGAATCTCCTCTTCTATGCACCAGTTTTCAGACTACGTTTTTTGTCCCAGAGATGGTCATTTTTTTAGTTCTGGTGCAGAGAATACTGGCAGTGCTTAATAAATACTAAACAAGAATATAAACTCGCTAAAGCAGTCTGCTGCATAGAAGAAATCAGTGTCGTTTATGGAAAAATACAGCAAAGATTGCGCAAACCGTGTGTGTTTTTCCGAGAAAGGACATTTTGCCTTCTGATTGCAACACTTTGTTTCTTCAGTAGAGTAGCAGTTAATCCTGTTTCAGCTGCACTGTGTAGTCATAATGTGGGGGAGCTTTCGAACTTTATCTGTTGCGCTGGTCACATTCCTTGCTGTCAGGATGTGTGATTTGCATACTTACCCAGGATTCCTGGCCTCCTTTTTTGTCACCACTGACCCAAATTCTTCTGCTGGCAAAACAGTGAGGTTAGTAACAATCTGGTGAAGGGCCACTTGAAATGTTTTAGAAGTGATTCAGATCCTAGTAACATGTGACCCTGCCCCTGAGGCAGTGGTTTTGTCTCAGACAGCATGTTACACACATTACTTCAATCAGCATACCGTGGTTACGTCTCTGGAAATAGACAAAACAAGAAGTTTGTACACTATTACTTCCAACTCCAACTTGCCTTCAGCTTTAAAACACCACTCTCTAAGCGCAGTATTTCATCTGCTCGTACCAGCTCTCTGGAGAGAAATATAATTTAAAATCAGAGATGGGATCAGACAAATTATCAGAAGAATGTTAGTTGTTATATAGAGCGGTTACAGTGATAGACGCTCTGTAAATCAATATTAAAAAAAAAATGGATCCCATTCTGCTCAAATTCTGCTCTCCATTTCTGCTCCCGTGTAACCCAAATGTAGCCATAGTAGGTTGTACCCACATTAAATGCTATGGATTTCATGGTAAGTTTTTCACAACATACATCCAACAATGTTTGGTTTACGACGACATTAATTTACATTTTATGTTCATGCAAATATCTAATTTAAAAATGTTTTTAGCATTCAAATTAGGATCCTGACATCTTAGATATATATGCTGGTTTATAACAGACTCTCTTGTGACTGAATGGTGAAGCATTTATGTCAATTAGGCTGCAAATGAAATATACAAAGAACAGGTCTTCTCAAATTTTAGTTTTCGTGGCAGAGTATGGTTCTTCACAGAGTAGGTGACGCGAAGCTAATGGGACAGTGTTTCCATGAGCCGCTTCTGAAGCAAAGTGTTATTGATATAGTAAAGGAAAGTTACTATATTTTTAGTGAGAGCATTTTGAGAGATTCACCTTGCAGTCTCAGCATTAGAAATCTGGCACCTTGTGACTTGTTTTATAGGAGAAAATGGTCCTTAATCCAAAGAAACTGAGATTCTTCTCCGGGTTTTACATTTAAGGCCACATTGTCATCAAAACATGTAACAGTGAAATTAGATGCACTCAAAATGTAGGAGAGGCATTTTCCTTTAAGGGTCATTCTGATTTTAATTAAATATCCACAGATTTGTATGGCAGAATACAAAGCAAAAAATAATAATAATACATAGTTAACAATCGTCTAGGTCTTCTAGCATAAACCACCTAAATTCAAACACTTTAGAAAAATGACAGTTCACACATTTTTACACATAGGTATGGGCGGGAGGGCGCACTGCAAAGGAAGAAAACTGAGATTGATTATAACCCCCTCTTATGGTGGCTTCAAAATTCACTTTCACAGTAGCATGCTATATTTTTGATTGCCAGTTAGTATGGAAATACAAAAGAAAACGTGTGTCTGCATTTTTAAAGCAATCTTGCCTGTTTATTTCTCCTGCTGTCAAGCCCATATCAGTTTAAAGCAACCATTCTTGTATTAACTCTGTTCTTTTTCCCTAGCCGGGACGGTGAAATAGACGAGTGTTGCTTTTAAGAATGTTGAACACTTAGGAATATTGTTTTTCTCTACCAACATGTAGACACATCTGTAAGCAAAGAGTCTTTGGAAAAAGTAGATGGAAAAATTGCCATGAGGTATGCTCTAAACGGATGCTCAGATTTACACAGGACTGTAGAGAAGAAATTGAATTCGTTTTCTAACCTGATTAGATCCCAGACTCTGTCCATTTCGGGTCCTGTGTCTTGTGGACCAAAACAAAAACTATTGGATAGTCCTGAATTTGGAGACATTCAAACAATGCCAGGACACAGTAGGTTGATTGCATAACCCTGTTGATGACTGCTGCTTAACCCTGGAAAAAATATCTGCAGTTTAGAAGGACTGATCATGTCTACCTCATTCTACTGATTTTGTTGGGATGTCAGTAAAATACAGCAGAACAACAAGTAGATTGGAGAGAAATCACTGAAGCTGTTAAACGAACAAACAAAAAAGTTTCCTTCACTATGGCCCATATCCAAAGTTTACTGAAGTCAAAGGAAAGAGCCCCATTGACTTTAATAGACTTTGGAGCAGGCTCTTAGGGAGTATGCATGATACATTAAAAATTGAATTAGGATGTTTTAGACTCTGCCCTTTAACTATCTCGATATAAAGACCAGAATCTGATTATTTTAGTTTATGGTTTTCCATGACATGGATGGTAGAATTCAACCACTAGTAGCTGTGAGCGCAATACCTTCTTGTTGTTCTTGGAGCTGGTGCCACAGATGTAAGATACCCTTTCCCTCCGTCAAAAATGGTGCTCTGGATGGACTCAATATTGGAACTAATGCACACAAGTCCAGGAGTTGCCTCACCCAGGAAAATGTGTTTGATAACACCTGTTACTTGGTATCATACAGAGCATTCGTAAGTCAAAACAGCTACTCTTCAGAGGTTCTTTACAAGGCAGGAATAAGACCAGGTCTACACTAGACGTGTTTCTGGTATAGTAATCATGCAATTTTTACATTTTTAGACCCGCAAAAGCCCTAAAGTAGATGCAGTTAAACCGCCAGTTGCTGCTTCTGCTGGTCTAGCTGATTTTGTTTGGGGACCTGATTGAAAAACTGCAGGAACACGAGAGTTTTTTGCTAGTGTAACTATACCCGTGTAGCTATTCCATTAAACCCTTTCTAGTATAGACAAGGCACTAAAGTCCTCACTGTCAGGTCTCTTTCAGTCAATGGCAAGGAAATCTCTTGCCCTACCTCCAGCACTCTTTTCAGTTGGTATTCTATATAGCAGCATCACATCCAGGTGTAACCGTTTTGAATGGCAGATCCATTTTGCCTCGGTAAGTAATATTGTTATCAACATCGATAGATTTCTCCAGCAGAGAGTAATAGTGAAGATGCACGGAAATAAATACACCAAAGGCTTCTAAGGACATCGTTAACATCAAGAGTGGAGCTTGAGTAATGCCACCAGACTTCTGACATGGCATTACGTGATGCCACGTGACAATTTGTAACTTACAGCAGATACCTGCACATCTTAGTTCTGCTGTGAGGCCCAGGTATGTTAAATGCCTTCAACTACCGAAGAAGTAGAGCTGTCCAGTATGACGGCACTTCGTGAAGTGTTATTACTAAAGCATGTTTTGTTGTAGTTTTTAAACAACTGGTTGAGGACTCCAGGCCTATGCGGTTATACCAGATCCCTGCGCTCTCTGAAACTTTGTCTGCCATTCCGATTCTCTCTTTTGGCGGGCCAAATCCAACCCTCCTTGAAATTCACTGAGTCTTTCTATTGTCTTCATTGAGAGTCGAATCCAGCCCATTATGCTCTTTTTAAAACAAATGCAGCCATTTTGTGTGGAGTATTTTTACAGTCTAGGGATCTTATATTATATTGATGTATGAAAACATTTTAAAATCGCACAAGGCAGTCAATACCAGTCTTAGATATGTGGCTGCATATCTTGGTAAAGGGATACTGCCAACTTGAGTGGCACGTTTCCATCTCAGACTTTTGTAGCTACTAGGGTTACAAGTAATACCTAAAATCGGGACAGCTGAAAGAAGTGATTGACACTTTTTTGTCTCTTTTTTCAAATTTACTTTGTGCATTTGACAGCACTGTGTGTATCGTCTGTTTCACTTTTTCTCCTGTACAGTCAGTTTCTTTCATATTGAAAAGATCCTTATATAGACATCAGCTGGGAAGCAGGAAAATCTCTCGACACATTTTAAAACAAGATCTAGGATATCCTGTTTAAAGAGCGCTCTACCAGAAAGTGTATTTTTTAAAAAAAAATTAGCTCATTTTACGAAAGTCAAGTTGACGTTCTCCATTTCAATGAATTACCTTCCCTCTCTGTGCAAATGAAATAGATGATGTACATTTTAATATCCTGAAACCTCAACCCCAGTCTGGAGGACCTACCTCATAAGGTGCTAATACTTCAATCTCCAGGTCCATCCTTTCTGTGGTTTCTCTGCTAATGCTGCAAATGATGGTGTTTCAAAAAGGTCACCTATTGTGGTTACTATTCACGATCAACATTTTAGTTCTCAAGGTCCCAAGATTGAAGATAAATCTGTGGGTGTTTTTCCCCCAAGCAGAAGGTGTGCCAGAACAGTGTTAGTCCACTGACTGGGATGTTGTGAACATTTCTGCTGAAGTGTTGGAGTTACTACAGATGTGGTGGAGGTTTCTAGGGTTGGATTTCAAACATGTCTTTAATTTTCTACCCAACTGCCCATGGTATGACTTTACAACTCCCTTCCATCCTTCAATATCATACAGTTTATTGCATTCTTGACTTCCACTGAAATGCAGGAAAGTGTTCTCAGAATGAAAATAAAAGTCTAGGCCCTTGAATTTCTGATGGGAATGGGGAATTCACATGTTCTGTACTACAGCAAGACCTGTAACGATTTATTCTGAGTCTGTTCCAAAGTTCTTTGATGTCAGGGGGAGTTTTTCTCTGCACCCCAATGGGTTTTGGATCAGTCTGTTTGTGAGAGTGTACACTGCTTTGTGGACCAGCTTAACCCTCCCATATTCTGATGACTGCTTCTTGCCTTGAAACCAAGTGACTGCCGAGTTTTTGGAATTGTTAGTGCAAAATGTTCTTTTTTTTTGTCTTATTTAGTGTAAAACTCAAATTCCAAAAACCCTGAAGTGCTGCTTTCTTTTGCTTGTAGCACAGAAATCTGACCTCCATGCCAGCAATTGGCTAAGAGTGAAATTTCCAGGAAGCCAGGTGGCTTCATGAATGCTCGGCAAATGAATTGTTACTTCTTTTTAACATGCCTGCACGAGAAAGCATCAAGATCTTCTTCTTCTGTGGTTCATGATATCAGTGCAGTTCTCCTCTCCTTCCATGCATACGTCTGCTCAGTAAATAAATCCATGACTGAAGAGTCATGCATCCCACTGAAAACCTTCTGCCCACAATATAGGAGAAACATGCAGAACATGAGAAGATAAGAACATTGGCAAGTATATGGTTAGCTAGCATACTCTCTGCTCCTCTGCCATTGTTAATGATAGGAAAGTATAAAAAGCAACGCTCTGCATTTTACAGAAAGCTGATTCCTCTGTTCAGAAAATCTTGCTTTGCCAGTATTGCCCTCCTGTGGGGTTTTACAGCAGAGTGAAGTGGCATTAATTTCAAATGGTAATGAATAGCTGGACTGTTGGGGCTCTGTACATAAGATCCACCTGGGACACCAGTTATAAAATGTCTCTTGACCACTGAGATTCTCAGATAATTCTTCAGCTTCAGAACTCATCCATAAGGGGTTTTACCTTGTGCACGTGTGACATTGTTTGCATAGGCTGACCCTGGGCTAAGACAGGGGTTTACAAATTAGGTTGCCCGATTTATGCTTGTTCAAATTCTTCTCTCCTCTGCTCAGAAATCTTCATGAGCCCCCAAACCACGTGTTAAAGTCCCGATACCATGTCTGCATTGTTTTTGAGCTGAGCGCCTGCATGTCCATACAATTCCCCGTCTTCGTATTTGCAAGATTTCCCAACCTAGGTTTGTGCTGGTCACGCTGCAATCCGCCCTTTGCTCAGACAAGACTCTCACCACCCAGGAAGAGAATGTAGGAACATTTAGCAGCTTGTTTTTGCAATAGGAGGTATAAAGAGTGGATGACTGTCCAGTGTCATCATCTATGTAAAGAAGAGGTGTGAAAAACTTCCCAGTCCATAAGGTTCCTTCATAAGAATAGGTCTTTCTTTGTGCCATGATGTGAGAAGGTGCGTATAGAAGGATTCTGGCTAAGGTGGCATCCGAGGTAGAGGAGCCTTCTTTCAGAGTATAGTCTTTTATCTGCGGGAGCCTTATGAAGAGGGACAGGACAAATTAAACATCATCACACTCACTCATAGATAAGTTTCACCATGAGTTAGCTAGAGAGCTGGACCAGCAAGGATATCCCGAGGTGCGGGAGCCAGGGATGGGGGAAATGTGTCGGCCAAAGGCTTGGTGGATACGTAACATCTACTGGAAGAAACATACCCCGTATCTGTAAGGGAGGAAAACTTGCTCTTCCCAGTTCCTGCGTTAGCGAACATAGGCCCACGGCCATCGGAATCGCTACCTGGAGGAAACTGACGAACAATTGAAAGCAAAATTGCACAGTGCTGGCCAGCAGCAAGTTAGGGAAGGGGTTTATGCATTAAAAAAAATAGACCTCTTCTTTGAGCTGGTGGCTGTAATGGACTACGGGGTGATGTTTACGTGCTAAGAGGAAATATTGTATATGTTTGCACTGCTTATCTCTCGCCACAAACCATCCTGTCCTAGAAAGTGCTATTATTGGATTATTCTTTCTTTAAATAAAATGTTTCCAGAAGCTTTAAAGGACTTTGCATCTCTGAGACGGGGGAGGCAGGTTCCTTGATCTTACAGGAGTTGGAATGAGAAGATGACAAGATCTTGTACCAGGAAGGGCATTTACAGTGGGTGACTGCCAGGTTGCATCATTCTCCGGTTCCATTCATTCCTCGTTATTTCTATTCATGACATGCTAGGAGGAGAGAGAAAGACAGGGACATTTTTAGAGGGAAAATTGTAATAAATCTTATGCCTTGAAAGCCAAATAGCTAAGCATCCCAAAGAATATGGATACATGTGAGTTTAATCCTCCATAAAATTCTGCAAGCCAAACACGTCAGGCCATCTCATCACGGTATTCCTTTTCCAAAACTCCTATTCACTTCAATGGGCATTTTGCCTGAATAAGGACTGAGGGTCCAAAACTGCAAAGTTTTATTTGCTCAAAGTTGTGCTTATTCATGCATGTAGTCCATTGATGTCAAAGGGTGGCATGGTCACATTTAACGTGGCCCTTAAGAATGCTAGGTATTTCCTATGCTGTGATCTATACGTTCCCTTATGCGCTGTAAATTACAGCTATTCCACTTTTTAAACATTATGCGTGTTGTCCAGTAGACTTTTAGGGGTTGATGTTTGTTTCCTTTGACCGGTTGTATTATCCTTGATGTTAATGAGCATTTCTAACTGGTTACCAGCAGGACAGTGGGGTGGGAGGAGGTATTGTTTCATGATCTCTGTGTGTATATAAAGTCTGCTGCAGTTTCCACGGTATACATCTGATGAAGTGAGCTGTAGCTCACGAAAGCTCATGCTCAAATAAATTGGTTAGTCTCTAAGGTGCTACAAGTACTCCTTTTCTTTTAACTGGTTACAGTAATTTTTGGGGGACAGTCCTTAAACATAATCAATGCAGGCCGCTACTCGGGGCCAAACACTGACTGGCCCAGCCTCGCTCTCTGGTAGCAGGGCAGGAGAGGATAAAAAGTTCCCTGGCTCACCACTCTTCGCATCTCATAATACATACTTTTCTGCAGCGAAAGCTCATTCAAAGCCCAGTGTTTCCACCCAGCAGCTCAAGGACTCGCTAATGCTAGCCCAACCCTTCCTAATGGGCCACACGTTTCTCTGCTGTTAAACTCCATCAACGAGATGCATGTGTCTCCAGCAGGTGTTTCTGTGCTTGAGGATGGTGGGAGCATTAAGGAACGCCAGCCAGGGCGCGTCTACACTAGGGGTTAGGTCAGCTTAACTTCATCGTGCAGGGGTGTGGATCTCTCAGACCCCTGGGCGACATAGCTGAGTCAACGTTTGAGCGTAGACCTGGCCCCACTCGGTGAACATCGGCTTAATTTTAAATTCCGAATTAGAAGTAGGTTTCATTCCAACCTGGTTTCCTGATCCTCCCTCGGCAGCGCAGGCCTGCTTGGGAGACAAACATCGCAGTGAATAAGCAAATCTGCACGACACGCCCGTCATCCTCAACTAACAGCCCTAGAGTCTCGTGTGGTTTTTTGGAGGGACGCAGGCAGCTCCAGTGGACTCTCCCAGGTTTGATCTTACCCTGGGGAGGGCATAGTAGCAAGACCCACCTTCCCCTTCAGGAGTAGAAAGGAGAGACTCTGGTAAATAGAGTCAGAGTCAAAGCAGTCACACAATCAGGTCTTGACACTGCAGGCTGACATTTGTCATTGCTTTGCATTCACATGTGATGATGCTGGAGGGTCATATTCTGCTCCGAGCTGCACCCAGGCATTCAAAGGAGTTGCCCAGCTTTCCCTGGCAGCAGAATTTGGCCCTTTCCTTTGCAGCGGTGCAACATAAAGACAAACATCGCTACAGAATGTCAGGAGACCACTCCGTGTGACGTTGTGGTTCTCTGGCTCCAGTCCCTGACCACAGGGTGTTTCCAGCTCTGTGAAGTCGAAGAGCACTGCCAGGAATCTATTCAGACAGATGAAAACCAATAATGGCGAAAGATCAAGCTGATCCATGTATTCTTTATACTGCCACAGTACAGAAAATATTTCAGTCTCTAGAACAGGAGTTGGGCTCATCAGAGTTGGGACCTGGGGGGAGGTGACACAGCAAGGCATGGTGCTAGGCTTCGAGAATTCGCTAACTTGGGCAATTCCAAAAGGCCCGGGAATCACGCAGCTGTGTTTTGAGGTCATTCCCCAAAGGGCCATCTGATAGTTTCAGAGGGTGGCGTTTCAGAGAGCTACCCGTCAGCTGCACCACTCTGCAAATTCCTGTTTCCAGGAGATTGTTGCCACGTTTATGTCTATAAAGATTTTGACCTACACATGTGGGTGGGGTTTTTCCTGGTGTAAATGGGAGGGAGAGACTGGCAAAGGCAAAGTCCCAGGCTGACATAAGGAATTAAATCTTACCCAAAACGGGGGCTGAACGGCTGTGGGGCAATAAAGCTTTGTAAAGTTCTCTTCCCTTTATTCATTGCCTTTGGGCTAAGAGCAAGGTAGAATCAATTTCCTATCCCCGCTCAGGGCTTGCCAGGGCATGGACCCTGCTTCCTTTCGCTTAGCACTGCAGGTTCAATATCAGAATGATCTCTGGCTTTAAACAAAACCCTGGACCTCACGTTCATTTCTCTGCGGGGACAGGATGGATTCCAAAAGTCCCTCGTTTCCTTTCTCACTAAATCTTGGATTGCCAGGTGTCCGGGTTTCAACCGGACGGTCCAATCGAAAGGGAACCTGTGCAGTGTCTGGTCAGATGTACTGACCAGACACCAAAAGTCTGGTTACCATGGGGGAAGGAGGCATTGGGGTCATTAACCCATGCCAGCCCCTGCTCAGCCAGGACCGCCTCCTACCTGCATCTCGTGGGCAGGCAGGATCTGTGTCAGGGACTGCAGCTCCCGACCCAGCCCCAGAGCAGAGGGAGGCCAGCTGGTGAGGGGAGGGAGGTGGAGAGGATCAAGTGATGAGGAAGGGGGAGAGGGGAGAGCAGTGAGTGACAGGGGAGGGGTGGAGAGGAGTGAGTAGGGGCGGGGCCTCGGGGGAAGAGGTGGAGCAGGGGGTGGGGCCTCAGGGCAATAGGCGAGGCAGGGGGTGGGGCAAGGCAGAGGGTCCGGCGTTCCTGCTTTAGGGTCCGGTTTTCAGAAATTAAAGAAAGTTGGCAACCCTACATCTCTTGGTTCCCGAGAACAACACGCTCTGCCCCTGGCTTCACATCCTTGGATATGCGAGTCCCCGGGTGAGTCCTGGGATTATCTAGGGCAGAGCTCCCTGGCTGCAGTGACTCAGGAGAGATCTGCATTTTAACATGCTGTCTTTTCACTGTGGTCCCTGAACACACAGTTGAGCAATCACGAGCACTGGGGCATGGGGTTTGATGGCAGCAATTGACTTTGTGAGCTGCTACACAATAGGATTGTTGGTTATACTAAGACCAGACTGGTCTTTAATAGGGTTAGAACCTTCTTGACGCATGCACCCGCTAAGTGACATGGCCAAGTGTGTGCCCTTCCTTTTCTTTCTGAAGATCTTGCTGATTTGCTCGCTAGATTTTCCCCGGTAGCTTTTATCACGATATTTTCAACCACTACTGGCAACATTACACCAGGTTTTCAATGGAACAGAACTGATAACGATGAACCAGGCAGGTGCTGAGGTGCAGCGTCATGGCATGCAGCTCACCGACAAGTGCAGGGTATTTACCTGTCTTTCTCTGCCATTTCTTGTTTCTCCTCTGCCCTGTAATGATAAAATGTATTTGAGTGAGTCATCTTTTCTCCCGTGACTAGCCCTTTGAGACTGCTGGCTGCTCTAATTTTACGTTTGTGGCTGTTTTTGGGCTTTAGAGGATCTTGCGGGTTTTTTTTTTGGGTTTGATCATCTCAAGCAATTTAAAGGAATACCGCACTAATTACTTCTAATAACTTGGGGCTAGAGTCTGGCAACCTTACTTCTGTGGAGTAGCCTCTTCCTCCATGGGTGAAACCGTGACCCGAATGGGAGTTTTGCTATTGATGTCAGTGGGACCAGGATTTCATCCCAAAAACCAGTGCAGAGAAATGCAGGCCTGGCAGAATCTGACCTTTAGGCTTGGGTTACACACAGGTTTTGCACTGATATAACTCTTTCGATTAGGGGGTGATTTTTTTTTAAACCAAAATAGTTACATTTGTAGAGTGGATGCAGTTATACTGGTTATAAAGGTGCTTTGCACCGGTCTAGCTTATTCCCCTTTCTGTACAGGAATAAGCTAGACTGGTATAAGCCCCTTTCATACCAGTCTAACTGTATCCACACTAGAGGGGGGTTGTACTGATTTGAACTTTAGCAGTACAGGGAAAGTGATACGATTTTGGGGGGCAGGCAAGCCCTGAGAGAGGTAAATAGGCTTTTATTTAAGTATGCAGTCACATGCATTTTCAAACATCGATCAGTTTTTCAATAGCTCCTTAACTGTGAAGGGTCCATGGAACTGCATGGCTTTAAAGGGCTGGAGGGCTGTGAGTGGCCCCTCCTAAAAGTGAGGGGGGGCCGACTGACACCAGAACCGTGGTCCTGCCCCCTGGGCCATCCCTTCTTCCTGAGGCCCCGCCCCTTCTCCCCAAGCAGCAGGGTGTGGCCAACAGGGAGAGAGCCATCCAATGTATCAAGATCATTTTGAATTCTAATCCTGTCCCCCAAAGTGCTTGCAACCCCTCCCTGTTTGGTATCATCCCAAATTTTAAAAATGGACTCTGTGCGATAATCCAAATCATTTATGAAGATATTGAATAGAGCTGGACCCAGTACAGATCCATGCGGGACCCCACTTGATATGCCCTTCCAGCTAGACTGTGAACCATTGATAACTTCTCTCTGAGTACAGGTTTCCAATCAGTTGTGCATCAACCTTCTAGTAGGTTTGTCTAGGTTATATTTCTCTCGTTTGTTTATGAGAGGGTCATGTATCAAAAGCCTGACTAAAGTTGGGATATATCACATCTCCTGCTTCCTCCATCCACAAATGTTCTGATTCAGAGAAACATTTCTGCAATAAATAAATATATCTGCTGAAAGCAAACACGAAAGGGGGCCAGAGACAACCGAAGCGTGTGCTTAACTTTAAGCACACCTGTAAGTCCATTCCTGTTCCACAAAGCACATGCTCAAGTGCCATCAAAATCAACGGGACTTCATCATGTGCTTCGCATTAAGCATGTGATCAAGAGCTGTCCCGAACAGGGATGGAGTTACTTGCTTTGCTGAACTGGGGACTAACACAGGCCCCACTTTGCAGACACTCATATAACTTTGTGTACATGAATAATACCACTGAACTCACTGGACAACTCACATGGATAAAGTTACTTGGGCGCACCAAGTGGATGTACTTGCGTGCCAAAGTTTTCTTGTGTGTAAGAGTTTGCAAGTCGGGGGCATAGTTCTGACTTGGGTTGTGCTTTTGATCCGGAATGGTCACCGTGGCTCGGGCCCATGGCAAGAGCTCCTCCTCCCAGGTTGTTAACATTTGATTTGTTCTGTCTGTGGTAGTGAGTCCCACGTAGGTTCCCCGGCATGACGAGGCATTTTGTTTTAATAAACCTCACTGGATGCATGCTAACTCAGCTAGCTTTGCTTCCTTCCCGTACCCCCCTCTGCTTTTAGTATAGGGTACTGTAATGATAATGTATGCTCTTATCATTAGTTGTGGCAATATATCCTAATTCAGTATTATTTTTTTATCGGATGGGATGGCTTAACACATGGAAATAAAACAAACTAGGCTATAATGGGTCCAATTCTCATTTATAGTAAGGCCCTTTTACACCTCTCTAGCCTTAAAGAGCGCATAAATTACCTTTCCTGCCACTTTACACCACCGTGGTGAGGTGAAACAGCCTTAAAGAGGCTTTAGGGCTTGTCTGGACAGGAAGTGGTTCCTGATTAACTCCACGTGTGGCATTCCAGAATAAGAGCATCCACACACAGAATTAGTCAGGGACAGTTAAGCAGGAACAACTCCTTGTGTAGACAAGCCCTTTCCCAGATGAGAATCGGGCTCAAGAGTTCTCCTGCAGGTTTATTCTGGGGGACTGTTTCTGTGCAGAGTTGAGGGACAGGTTCTTCCTATGGATGGAAGGTGGGGGTTGAATTTACCACAGAGGGCATCTTCACTAGTGAAAGTGGTACGTTGTTAACTCAAGTTAGCTAAACAAAGGTAAAATCCTAGTGGGGACTCGGCAGTTGGCAGGTTTCACACAAGTTATCAGGTTGAGTTAAAACCTATGGGAAAGTCTGGGGTTTAAGCAGCTACTCCCTTTGCATCTTGTGTCTGTTCTGAATGAATATCAGTAAAAGTCAAATACAGACCAAATGGGTTGCCTGGATTATGAGGAACACAGAATTTACTGGCTGTAACTCCCACAGGAGAAAGCTTTAGGACAATATGAGCCCCATTCCCCCCAAAAGGTGATTTTTACCTTTCTTTCCTGGCTTTGGTTCTCTCCTCCTCGTACCTGCAATGAACAAGATAGATTTCCTTAAATGTCACCGCCAGGAAAACACAGCATTCACTCTGAAGCCGAAAGAGCCTGGGGCAAGCAATGGCTCCAGAATACAAAGAGTTAATGTGTTCTCTCTCTTGCATTTTCTGCGGTAGGAATGGGGAAGCTTGAGGCACAGAGAGGGTAGGACTTGCCCAAAACCAAGCAATGAGTCTGTGGCAGAGCTGGGACTAGACGACAGCCAGGCCTCCTGAATGCCAAGCCGTGATCACAGGACCATCCTTCCTCTCTGAAGCACCGGAAAGAGGTGCACATGGTGAGGAGCTAATGGACTGTGGCCTCCAGAGTTGCCAAGTTTTCAAGTGAGAGGTCCCTGTGATACTTACTGTAGGAGGCAGTCAGGAATCTGGACGTGCTCCATGGGGATAGTCTGCTCCAGTTCTTCCAGACTGTGAACGTACTGGATCTTATTGATAAACTTCACACTGACAGAGGAAGAGAACATGCACCCTTTAAGAGCTTATTCTGACTTCCCCCTTCATAGAACGGTGACTATCTGGGACATACATCCAGATCCTATCGAAATCTGTGGGCGTTTTGCTGTTGATTTAAATTCAACTGGGATATGACCCAAAACGAAGGCTTCTCTTTAGCCAGAGGCTACAAACACTTCAGACACCTAGAGTGGGGTTCTCCTGCTCCCAACTTCATTCCACCCTTTTGACAGTAACTTTTGCTGAGAGAGGATGGCTTGGGGGTGAGCTGTGAGTGCCAATCCTATGAGTTTTTACACCAGTCTATGCAGTGACCTGTACCGGGAGAGGCTGGGGCTAAGGCATCTGGGACTTCTCAAAGAACCACTAACTTCTGTGGGGAGAGAATTTGGTCTAGAGTCCTCCTTGCTAGAGCACCCACCCAACCCAAGTCAGGAGCTGGCCAATTGTTCCTTTAGTTGTTATAAGAACTTGATAAAAATAAAAACAAACAAACAAAAAAACCCCTTCCAGCAGCATTGGGACACCTTTCCTCACTCCCAGTGAGTAAATTTCCTGCCACAAAAATCCAACCTCCCTTTCTGGCTGCCTCAGTAGGGTAACAGGAATACAGGGCTTGCCAGGCTCAATCAGAGAGAAGGTCCAGCAAGCTCAGTATCCTCTCTCTGACTGTGGCCAGTCCCAGGTGATTCAGAGGAAGGGGTGACGTAGGTGGGATAATCCCCCTCGTGTTGTGTAGCCCTCACCCTGCTCTCTAACATGTAGAGATTGACACGAGGTTTAATAGCTTTTCCAAAACACACTGGGATGCGGGAGAGTTCTTTGTTCACCTGATGAAGGGTCTGGATATAGCCAGTACTGTCCGGATGAACCACGAAGGGTGCACGATTATCAAAGCTTTCAGGTTTTTCCGTAGCCTGCGGAAAGGCCAGAGGTGAGAGGTTAGATGCAAAGGGCTTGCTTCCAAACTCCTGGAGGGCCCCGTGGGACTCCGTGGATTTCAGAGATTTACTCTGGTTGTCGGGGCAGAATTGGGCCCACAGGATCACATAAGTTAGAGAAGCAGAAGACCTGCTAGGGCATAGTCCTGATGCCTTTAGCTATTGTAGGAATGTTCCTACAGTATATTCTTCAGTACCTCACCCAGGCCTTGTTTTACACACTCTGATGATAACAGGGCTTCCACCATGTCCGTTGGAAGAGGAAAGAGAAAATCTGTTCTAGTCCTAAAGCAGCAAGAGGCTAGTCACACAAAGGGTCTTCGGCAGGCAGTGCTCAGTGTCCTCTAACGTTTAGGTGCCTTGAAAATCGCTGGGATTCACAGAGCCTGAGTTCGGGGCCTGGGCTCCCTATACAATGAATGGGGAGAGACAGGCGCCTCAGAATGGGAATCACAAAAGCCAGTGTCTAGGTGGCCCCTTGCCCAAGCTAGCTAGAGGGAGGTGCCCTGTCCTGCCCCTCTCATGGAGATAGGTGCCTCCTTCTGCCAGGGATTCTCAGCAACAAGCCAGTGGGATGGGGTGGGGTGGGGGGCTCCCTTATAACCTTGAACCCCGTGGTTAGCATACTCAGCTGGGATGTGGGAGACCCTGGTTCAAGTGCCCCTTCACTGGAGGAGGAGAAGGGATCTGCCACCTCTCTGGTGAGCATAGGCGAAATTTAACTTCTATATTTGTGGGGGCGGCTCCAGTCAGGCCAACAGGGCCACGCGTGGAAGGGTGGGGGACTCACAAATTCCGTGCCTGCCCCCAAGGGCGCCATTTCAGATTTGGTGGTGGTGGTGGGGGACACAACTTTAACCGTGATTCCAGGGGCTACTTAGGCAGCTGAAAACTCTAGTGGTTTTGCAGATAATAACTTAGAAATCTCTGACAGGAGCCCAGTATCGAATTCCTATCTCAAGAAAGAAAATTAAATAAATATTAGACTCGCTCAGCTCTAATACTAACATGTTCTGACCTCTTGTGGCAAGTCACTTATGGGACACTGGTTAGTTTTAAAATGGTAATGTCTATTCTTTCTCAGATACTCTTACTAAAGTCAGAAGGGAACATCGTGGTTATCTAGTCTGACCTCCTGCACCTCGCAGGCCACAGAACTTCCTCCACCCACTCCTGTAATAGCCCCCTAGTCTCTGGCTGAGTTACTGAAGTCCTCAAATCGTGGTGTAAAGACTTCAAGGTACAGAGACTCCACCACACCACAGAAACACTAACCCAGGAACCAATCCCTGTCAGAAACCCCATTGCCAGCTCTGTCCCCATATCTACTCTAGCGACACCATCAGAGGACCCAGCCACATCAGCCACACCATCAGGCATAGGCGCCAACTTCTACTCGCCCTGGTGGGTGCTTGACCCTGCCTCTGCCTCCGGCCCCGCCCCGACTCCACCCCTTCCCCACCCCCAGCCCCCCACCATTCCTACCCCTTCCCCAAAGTCCCTGCCCCAGCCCCGCCTCTTCCCCGCCTCCTCCTCAGAGCGCGCCACGTTCCTGCTCCTTCCCCCTCCCTCCTGGAGCTGGTTTTGCCAAGCGCTGGGAGATCGGATGAGGAGCCGGGACATGGCGAACTCAGGCAGGGAGGCAGAGGAGGTGAGGTGGGGTGGGGAGGGGAGCTTGGCTGCCAGTGGGTGCAGAGCACCTACTAGGTTTCCCTGTGGGTGCTCCAGCCCCGGAGCACCCATGGAGTTGGCGTCTATGCCACCAGGGGCTCATTCACGTGCATATCTACCAATGTGATATCTGCCAGCATGTGCCAGCAATGCCCCTCTGCCATGTACATTGGCCAAACTGGACAGTCTCTACGTAAAAGAATAAATGGACACAAATCAGACATCAGGAATGGTAACATACAAAAGCCAGTAGGAGAACACTCCAATCTCCCTGGACATTCAATGACAGATTTAAAAGTAGCCATCCTGCAACAAAAAAACCTTCAGAAACAGACTTCAAAGAGAAACTTCAGAGCTACAATTCATTTGCAAACTTAACACCATTAATTTGGGCTTGAACAGGGGCTGGGAGTGGCTGGCTCACAACAAAAGCAATTTTCCTTCTCTTGGTATGGACACCTCCTCATTAGTTATTGGGAGTGGACCACATCCACCCTGGCTGAATTGGCCCTGTCAACACTGGTTCTCCTCTTGTAACGTGACTCCCTTCTCTTCATGTACCAGTATATTTAGCCTGTGTCTGTAATTTTCATGCCATGCATCTGAAGAAGTGGGTTTTTTACCCGCAAAAGGTTATGCCCCAATAAATCTGTTAGTCTTTAAGGTGCCACCGAACTCCTTGTTGTTTTTGTGGATATAGACTAACACGGCTGCCCCTCGGATGCATTTCCTTTGTCTACAAAATCAGTTCTCCTCTCAAAGAAAGATATTAGTGACTTTGTTAAAAAGAAAAGGAGTACTTGTGGCACCTTAGAGACTAACCAATTTATTTGAGCATAAGCTTTCGTGAGCTACAGCTCACTTGCTGTAGCTCATGAAAGCTTATGCTCAAATAAATTGGTTAGTCTCTAAGGTGCCACAAGTACTCCTTTTCTTTTTGCGAATACAGAAACACGGCTGTTACTCTGAAACCTAGTAACTTTGTTATCATTGAATACAAGAATTGAAACTATTGTAGAAAATTCTACAATTACTTTCTATCCTTTAGGCTACTTGCAGTTCGCCAAGCTAGGAGCAGATCATTTAACTTTAGGAAACACCCTAACAGCCCTTTCTTATCTTAATTACCTGCTAATCACTCTGTTTATAAACACAATTCTGACGGGCTGCCTCAAGAGTGCAAACAGGGAGCAGCACCTCTCCCATCTCTGAAGAACTCATTGCATCCCATACTCAGACTGCCTGCCCCTAAGGCTTGCAGTTTGAGGGGGGAAACACCCTTCCTTGCCCTCCCCTCCACCTGTGCAGGTGAGCACCCTAACCGCTGGCCTATGGGATACTCTGCTGTGGGGAATCCCTCCTATTGAAGTTGTTCTACTCTGACTAAATTAAAAAACGACATGGGTGCAGGGGGCCTGGATCTTCTACCCCCCAGGGGAGCGTGCTAACCACCAGGCTACAGAGTCATTCTCATGCCTGCTTGTTCTCTCTGGCTCAATGATTCTTCCATTATTTAGACACCAGGGACACCCGAAAATGGAGACACCCCAACTGATCAGCTGTCTGCAGCATCCCCAAACCTGAACTCAACAGAGCTATGCCGATCTACACCAGCCAGGGATCTGGCTTCTGCAATATAGATTAAAATAGTGTGACTAAGAAATTCTCTTTTTACTTACTTCTTCCAAGGAGACACCCATTATTAGTATCCCCTTTGTGCTAGGCGCTGTGCAAACACAGAACACAAAGAGAGTCCCCGCCCCAGAGTTTACAATCTAAGTATGAGACAACAGACACCAGGGGAAGAGAAATGGGGGAGTCTGAGGAAACAATACTTTTTATAGTACAGAGCGTTAGTAAAATACTCTTTAGTTCCTTTGCATCAAATTGACTTTGACCGAGGTGTGTCTCTCTGTTACTACAGGTATACATGCTTGTATTTCATACTCCTGTGAAATATAACCAATAGAAGGGACGAAATAGCATCAAAGTCTAATGTGAAAATGATCCTCATTTTCTTGTTTATGGACCCCCCGGTCTGTATATGCTGCACCTTTGTCTTGGGTTGTGAAGTGTGAACCCGGTAATCAGGAATGAACAACCCAGTGAGTGTAAGGAGGAAGCAGGCCCGACAGTTCCTCCCGCTGGTGCCCATTTAGTGCTGCAGGCTGGCTTTCCCAGTGCATCACTTTGCAAGAGTCCCTGCTGCCGCATGGGAGATGTGGAATGATACCAGGTGAGAAACAATTCTGCTGACTTTGTCCCCTTTTTGCTAGGAGGGATGGAGTCATGCCCCCAGGACCTGTAGTGTTCAAGTCCCACCCCCTATAGGTGGGGAAGGGACCTCAGGAGGTCATCTAGTCCAACCCCCTGCACAATGCAGAACCAATCCACAATTTTTGCCCCAGATCCCTAAATGGCCCTCTCAAGGATTGAACTCACAACCCTGGGTTTAGCAGGCCAATGCTCAAACCACTGAGCTATCCCTCCCCCGTCCTCTGTATGCATCCAGTCCTAACATACCTTACGTGGGTGCATAGGAGCCAAAATCAGCTTTACAGCTGTGGGACTGAGTTACATTTACACTAAGGCTCCTTTGCATTGTTTTGGTGGTGCCTTAAGCTGGGTGTATAGTGCAGTGGATGATCAGGGAAATAACCTGCCCATAGAGGGCATTCCTCACCTTCTGTCTATCATCTGGTAGCATTTCTTCAGCCAGCCCAGGCCTGGCATCCTCCGACGTGGTGTAGCTCCATTCAGGTACACGATCATGTAGTCCTCGGCCACCAGCAGCTCCAAGCTACTGATCACGTACCTATCAGGTGGAAATCCAAAGCCGCCATGGAGTGGGATTGCAGGGATTGAAGCTTCAATACATACTGCGGGGTTTCTGTATTTATTTGTGTACACCCTCTCTCCCAGCCCCACCATGCTGATCATTCTCCAATCTATTCTGACTCTGTATTGTGACTCAGGTCACTGTATTTGGCCACAAGAAGGTTCAAAGGAACATTGCAACTGAAAATCTGACCTGTCTGTCTTTGTGGGTTGTGGGATTTGGAGAAGATGTTTCAAATCCACCGTGAGGCACCTTTGCAGGAGCCATGAAGGGGTGTGTTTAGGTGGGGCCTACAGATCAAGTACAGTGGTCCATACATTTATGTCCATAAGTTCCTTTGCACAGCAATAGCCTCAGATGGATAATTCCTACTCTGGGCAGGCATTTATTGCTGGCCAGCATATGGGCGCACATCAATGCTATATGTGAAGCTGCTTTGAGGTATCGGTGTTGGGTCAGAATTTGGATCATTGGGCAGGTAGGAGGACACTGTGGACAACAGGTCATCCAGCAGTATTCAGCCAGATACACAGCAGCACCCTGTACAGCTGGCATGGATTCCACCTTGCCTAGTATCCCAGATGAGGTGCTCCATGTAAAGTCCCAGTGAGTGGCACAGATACTGAGGTTACCTGGGGACCCGGGACACTTCTTGCCTCCCCTCCATCATGCAACTTGGCGTTGTCACTTACAAGAAGAGGTTCTCCATGATGTAATGGTAATCAGCTAGATTACTGTCTGGGAGATAGCAGGCAGCAAAGACAATGATAGCATTGAGACCTTCTCCGTAGTACCCTAATAGAGAAAGAGATGGACAGCATGGCCACTTGAGTGAGACAGAGGCAGGAGGTCAAAACGGAAAACAACTAAGTGCTTCTGCAGCCAGGCCTGTGCTTATGCTGTGTTGTGGGACACGGCCCCGTCCACAGAGAGGTGTCCTGACCCCGCGCAGAACTCCCACTGACTTCCATGCAAGAGGAACTATGCAGGATCACAGCCCGGGAGAGATGCAATGCGATGTTTGCTTTGTTGTATTACTTTATGAAGCTCCTATTGCTGGAGCAGCTCAGGGCTTACTTGAAAATCACTATGGCTTGCAGTGTGCCACAAAGTTGTGCCCATGAGGATTTTGGCAAATTCCCAAGGAAGTTGGATTCCAGAGGTAGAGGCTATCGACTGAGAGAGCCCAACTTATGATCCAGTCCTGGAAACTTTTACCCAGGGGACGAACAACAACGGCTTCCCATTTGATCTTAACATGCTCTGTTAGGCCCCTTATTCAGAATGGTCAGCTCATTATTCAGTCGTTGGATATAAACCAGTCTTTGTATTCGGGGAAAATATAGTCTGCTGTCAAGGCACAGGAGTAGGAGCGCTATTCCTGGCTGTACCATTGACTCATTGCCAGCCACGAATTTTCAGAAGTGACCACTATGTCTGGTGCCTTAGTGCCTACATGTCCAACCTGAGACACCAGGGCCTGGTTTTCAGAGCTGCTTAGCTCCTGCAGCTCCAGTTGACTTCCGTGTTAGTTGGGGGTGTCCCGCACCTCTGAGGGGGACCAGACCCTATTGCTGCCATCAGCTCCTGTATGCTTTCTATTATGTAGCTAGGTTTTTTAGGGTGATATACAGAGCTGGGTAGAAAATGGTTTCCCCATCCCTGGAAGATTTTTGATATTTTATCCTGTCCTGGGACGAAAAGTCAAAATATTTAAATTTTTTGCAAATGAAAAATCTACAAGACATCCAGTTCAGGTCCATCAAAACATTCGGTTTCAACCTTTTAAAAATTTGTTTTACATTGAACTATGAATTAACTTAAATTTTGAAACAAAAAAGTCGTTTTGGACCAAACGAGGGGAACTTTTCGCTTTGCAAAAGTCAAAACAGGATGGTTTGACAATTTCAAAACTTTTTTCCCCAAACATTTTTCCAAACAGGCCGTGCATTGAAACTGGCCCTGTCCTGCAAAGTGTCGTCAGAAAAAAGTTTAGTTGAAATAATCCCAACCGGCTTTAGTGATGTGAATGGTGCCATGCTGAGTGGGATAGCTGCCTCGTACGATATGGGGAACTGGCTCTCCTTACTGATGGGCAAGACAACCAGTTGCTCATGGGCGGTGGGTATCAAAGGCCGGGGGAGGCTGAGCCTCCCCAAACAGCCTTGCGTGGCCCTGCCCATGCTCCATCCCTGGCCACACCACATGCCCGCCCGGTACTCTGGGGCTGGGAGCACTGGGGGCCGCACTGCCTGCTTGGTGCTGGGGGGGCTCTGGGCTCTGGCGGGGGAAAGGAGGGAAGAGGGGCAGGGCCTTGGCCACAAGGGGAGACTCGGGCCGGAGCTAGCCTCCCTGAGCCTGTGGTTCACCCGCCGCCCATGCAGTTGCTACATCTCTTCCAGCCCCACCATCCCAAGAAGCAACTATAAGAAAGGCCGGCAGGCCAGTGCATTTCTGAGACACCATGGTCTTCCTAAACCTCACCTCCATGTGTCACCACCTTCATGTAGGGTTTGATCATCTGCAGATCAATGCGGTGTTCCTGCTCCCCAATGATAACTGTCCTCCATAGTCTCCCATTGGTAGCGCTGCTGTCTTCTACCACCCCATCCCCAAAGAGGTCTGCGCTGTTCCCGGGCATGTTCTTGGCTGTGGCCACAGGTGTATCATCTGGAAGAGGGAAAGCGAGAACTCTGGTGAGCTTCTCCTTGAGACTGGATAGAGGTCTAAGGTGCTTATCTAGGCGTCTACACTGAAAACGTACATTGGCATAGCTATGTCTCTCCGGGTGTGAAAAATCCCCCCTTCCCCATAGCAACACAGTTCAGATGACCTAACCCATGGTGCAGACAGTGCTAGGTCGACGGAAGACTGTAGTGAGTGTCTACACTGAAGCGTTACAGTGGTGCAGGTGTAGCTATGCTGCTGTAGCGTTTTAAGTGTAGACACACCCTGAGATCCAGATTCAGAATGCATGCATTAAGAATACAAACTGGAGTCTCAGTCTGCTCTCCATGCAGGGCAATAAGAGACCGCAACAACCACAGACTGAGAACCTGTCACCTCAGGGTGGGATGCAGAGATAAAATTTCTCTCACCATTAATGACTGTCCATTGAAGCAGCTAATCCTGGAACCCATAATGGGAGAGGCAATTCTTGCTTTAGTCCTAAGTGGTGAACAGGATCTGGTCCAAGAGGTGAATATAGCTGAACCACTCAGTAATAGAGTCGATTATGTAATGAAATTAAAAACCCTTGTAGGGGGGAAAAGACCAAAGAAACCCACCACAGAAGCTTTTAACTTCAAAACAGGGAACTACACAAAAATGAGAAGGCTAGTTTAATGGAAATTAAAAGGAACAGCCACAAGAATGAAATGCCTGCAAGCTGCATGGAAATTTTTAAAAAGCACCATAACAGAGGCTCAAACTATATGTCTGCCCCAAAATTAAAAAAAAACATAAAGCAGCAAAAGGACCAAAAAGTGACACCATGGCTAAACAACACAGTAGAAGAGGCAGTTAGAGAAAAAAAGAGATCTTTTTAAAAATTGGAAGTCAAATTCTACTGAGGAAAATAGAAAGAAACCTAATCTCTGGCAAGTCAAGTGCAAAAGTTAATAAGGCAGGCCAAAAAAGAATTTGAAGAACAACAGGCAAAAGATACAGAAACTAAAAGCAAAAAAAATTTTGTTAAGTACATCAGAAGCAGGAAGCCTGTCAAACAAGCAGTGGGACCGCTGGACAATCGAGGTGCTAAAGGAGCACTCAGGGAAGACAAGACCATTGCAGAGAAGCTAAATGAATTCTTTGCATCAGTCTTCACTACAGAGAATGCGAGGGAGATTCCCAAACCTGAGCTATTCTTTTTAGGTGACAAATCTGAGGAACTGTCCCAGATTGAGGTGTCATGAGAGGAGGTTTTGGAACAAATTGATTAATTAAACAGTAATAAGTGACCAGGACCAGATGAGATTCACCCAAGAGTTCTGAAGGAACTCAAATATGAAATACAGAGCTACGAACCGTGGTATGTAACCTATCGCTTAAATCAGCCTCTGTACCAGATGACTGGCTGATAGCTAATGTAAGCCAACTTTTAAAAAAGGCTCCAGAGGCGATCCTGGCAATTACAGGTGGGTAAGCCTAACTTCAGTAACAGACAAATTGGTTCCAACTATAGTAAAGAACAAAATTGTCAAACACTGTGATGGGGCACCTGCCCCACACTGGCCGGTAAGGGGTTAACTGAGCCCTAGGAAGGCTGTGCAGAAAGCAGCCAATAGGAGAGGGGCTGCAAGGAGCAGCCAATCAGGCCCATATAAGAAGAGTTGCAGGTCAGAGCAAATTCAGTTGCTCCCTGGAGCTCTAGGAGGGAGAACTGGCTGCCTTGCAGGAGGAGGAAAGCTAGCACCTCGGACAGAGCAGTGCAGGGCGGGATCAGGGGAGTGAGGGCGAGCTCCTAGCTGACTGATAAAACTGGCATGCTGAGGCCCTGAGACAAGAGAGGAGAAGGTGCTGGGGTTGTGGGGAAGCGGCCCAGGGAAGTAGACTGAGAGGTTGGAGGGGACGCAGCGCATGGCTGCTGCCTACAGGGTCCCTGGGCCGGGACCCGGAGTAGCGGGCAGGCCTGGGTCCCCCCTCACCTCCACTTACCACTGAGGAAACGCCTGGACGATCGGACTGTGGTACCTCCCCCACCAGGAGCGGGACGGTGGGGGGGAGCACAGAGTATGGCACAGCTGGAGGGCTGTGTCCTGAAGAGGACGCCATGGTCCTTGGAACGAGATGGGTCCAGGAGCAGAAGTGACAGAGGCAAGACATCACCAGAAGAAAGCGCACCGCCTTGCCGAGCTAATCCTAGAGACAGCCAGCAGGGGGCGCTAGCGAGGTGAGTGAAGCCCATCACAGACACATAGATGAACATGATTTGTTGGGGGAAGAGGCAACATGGTTTTTGTAAAGGGAAATCGTGCCTCACCAATCTACTAGAATTCTTTGAGGGGGGTCAATGAACGTGTGGACCAGGCTGATCCAGTGGATACGGTGTATTTGGACTTCCAGAAAGCCTTTGACAAGGTCCCTCACCAACAGCTCTTAAGCAAAGTAAGCTGTCATGGGATAAGAGGGAAGGTCCTCTCATGGATCAGTAACTGGTTAAAAGATAGGAAACAAAGGGTAGGAATAAATGGTCAGTTTTCACAATAGAGAGAAGTAAACAGTGGGGTCCCAAAGGACCTGTATTGGGACCAATGTTGTTCATCTTATTAATAAATGATCTGGAAAAAGGGGCAAACAGTGAGGTGGCAAAGTTTTCAGACTATACAAAACTACTCAAGATAGTTAAGTCCAAAGCTAACTATGAAGAGTTACAAAAGGATCTCACAAAACTGGGTGACTGGCAGGTGAAATTCAGTGTTGACAATTACAAAGTAATGCATATCAGAAAACATAGTCCCAACTTTACATACAAAATGATGTGGTCTAAACTAGTTGTTTCCACTCGAGAAAGAGATCTTGGAGTCATTGTGGATAGTTCTCTGAAAACATCCCCTCAATGTGCAGCAGCAGTCAAAAAATCTAACACAATGTTAGGAACCATGAGGAAAGGGCTAGATAAGAAGATGTAAAATATCATAATGCCACTATATAAATCCATGGTACGCCCACACCTTGAATACCAAGTGCAGTTCTGGTCACCTCATCTCTAAAAAGATATATTAGAATTGGAAAAAGTCCAGAGAAGGGCAACAAAAATGATTAAGGTTATGGAACAGCTTCCATATGAGGAGAGACTAAAAAGAATGGGACCGTTCAGTTTTGAAGAGAGACAGCTAAGAGGGGCATATGAGAGAAGTCTATAAAATCACGACTGGTGTGGAGAAAGTGAATAAGGAAGCGTTATTTACTCCTTCAAGTACTAGGGGTCACCCAATAACATTAATAGGCAGCTGGTTTAAAATAAACCTAAGGAAGTACTACTTCAAACAATGCTCAGTCAACTTGTGGAACTTGTTGCCTGGGGATGTTGTGAAGGCCAAAAGTATAACTGGGTTCAAAAAAGAATTAGATAAGTTCATGGAGGATAGCCATTGATGGACTTATTAGCCAAGATGGTCAGGGATGTTCTGTGTGTCCCTAAACGCCCCAACTGCCGGAAGTTGGGAATGGATGACAGGGGATGGGTCACTCGATAATTGCCCTGTTCTGCTCATTGCCTCTGAATGAACTGGCGCCAGTCACTGTCAGAAGACAGGATACTGGGTTCCATGGACGGTCGGTCTGACCCAGTGTGGTCTTTCTGATGTTCCTGTTCTTACATTTGGAGGGGCACTCGAGGGAGGCAGAATGTAATGATCTGTGTTGGAATCTGGCCTGAGGTCAGTGCCCTGGCTCTTGCGAGAAGTGACACAGACTCTTTATTGAGCTCAAGTAGTCAGTTCCTCGGTATTGCACCTCACCTGAGAGATGGAGCCTCTGCTGTGGAACAGCATGCTGGGGGATTAGCACAGGACTGACTCGGGGGGAGAGAACTTCTGAATCACCACCCCCCACCCCTCCCTGGAGCTGTGGGGGCAGATCTTCGCAGGGGACTGGACAAGATGACCTCCTGAGGTCCCTTCCAGTCCTAAGATTCTATGATTCTGATTCTATGATCTTCAGCTGGTCTCAATTCTCATCGTTCCATTGACTTCACCATTGCTACAACAATTAACAACAGCTGAGCCTGTGTCATACCGTCAGCTGTGAACGTCCTGAGGACAAACGGTACACGACGGAGCTATGTGTCACAGCTGGGGAACACCAAAGCAGAGTCAAAAGAAAAAGGGTTAAAGTTAATCCAAGACAAGCACCAAGTCCTAGAGAAATCCACCCCACGTTGGTCTTTTTTACCTTCCCATTCCAGTTCATTCCCATTGCCCAGGAATTCCAGGGAGTCCGTCTCATCCGGGGTTTCGATGTCATCTACATTAATGTCCAGGTCGTCGGGCGTGTCCAGGAAGTCATCGGACAGCATGGAACCCTCACTTTGGTCCAGGGAAATGTTGATTTCAGGGGCTATGAGCGTCTTGCGCTTCCGATGAGCCCCGTTAAAGTTCAAAGTGTTAGGGGGAGCTGCAAGGAAAGAGGAAAGTAAGCGGCAGCTTGTCCTGATCATCCACCCTTGCACCAAGACTTTGCCCTGCCAGATCCTTGCATCTGTGCAGCAGCCTTACACCCCTGTGCAGTGAGTTGTTTTATCGCCATTTTAAAGGGGGGTTAAACTGAGGCACAGAAATGTTAAGCACCTGTCCAGGCCAAGAGAGTGAGTCAATGGCAAGAGTCAGGAGTGGCAGGCAGGTGTCCTGACTCTCAGCTCTCTGTTCTAATGAGGTCCCTGCACATTACAAAATACAGCCCCACTTTTGAAGTGCTCACAAAGTCATTCCTTGCTGAGCTGGGCAAATTACTGAGACTGAACTTTCTCTGGGTCCAGAGTCTCTGTTCAGTTAATAACACTTAGCATTAATATAGTGCTAACTAAGTGATCTTCACAAGCCCCCACGAGACAGGTCAGAATCATTATTGCCATCTTACGGATGGGAAAACTGAGGCACCGAGGCCCTGTCTACACCAAGCAGGAAACTGTGTGGCTGAAAAATATAAATAACCATAAGAATAGACCAATTTGGGGCCTAATGATGCTCGAACCTGTATTTGAGCCTAGTTAAGAGCCTGATAATTGTTTTCATGGTTTGGTCTCTGGAACCCTTGCTATGGCTGATTGGTGATGGTGGTTTGCTGACATCACAGAGGAGGCAGCATGGTACAGTGAATTAAATATATGGCTGCGATGAAGGAATTCCTGAGTTCTCATTCTGGCTCTGCCACTGACTTCCAGGTAGGGCCTTAGCTCAGTCACTTGTTCTCTCAAGTCCTGTCTATGATGCTAAACATGCTTCTCTTATCTTAGGGGACGTCTACTATCCATAGCCAACCACAACGAAAGCTGCAGAGCTCAAAGCACAGGGGGGTGAACAGAACGACTTTTACTTAAAGGATAAACTAACCGGATAAAATAAAGCGAGGGAACAAAGAGGTCTGGGGCCACTAATGCAACTGTCTTTGTGCAGCGCCTAGCATGATGTATAGCACCCAGTCCTGGCCCAGGACTGGGGCTCCTAGCTGCCACAGCAATAGATATTAATAAGGATTGATCCTTAGGGTTCCTCTCCTCTCCCTATTAAACAAGTGCTAAATAATATTCTGGCTCTGTTCGTGGCGCGTATGTAGCTGTTGTATCTGCTCTATTCTGTCGGCGTCCAGGTGCATGGCAAAGCTCAATCAAATAACTGCAATGAGCGTTCCGGTCTGAACTCTGTTCTGAGCAAAGTGGATTATGGCAGCAATTGCTCAGCTTATCAATGAGCATCTGGCTTTTCAAACTCTTCCTACTGCTTTGCAGCAACTCACCGAGGCTGTGGGCACAGCTGTGTCCCCGGCCGGCTGCCAGATGGATGGAAGCCATGGGGCATCCCATTCAAGGAAGTTGAGAGGGGTGGGACATAATTCGGAGGGGCTGAGCACCCACAACTCCAGTAGGAGTCCATGGGAGTGCTCAGCACTGTGACAATGCCTGTTTCCCCCACTTGTTGTGAATCTGTAACACACTCAAATGGTTCTTAGTTTTGATCCACACGCAAGATTTTTTGCTGAGACTTGAAGGAAATTTGTTCTCTCTCTTCTCTAACCATGGCCTGCTGCCCACTGGGCTCAGCAAAATACCCTCTTCGAAGCCCAACAAGGCAAGGCTGATACTTACAGGATGTGTTCTCATCTGCGGGTCTGCCCAGGGAGTCCATTCCTGTCTCTTCTGGGAGGGGTCTGCAAACCAGCCAAAGCAAAGGGTCCAGGAGGCAAAGAGAGCATAATTAGCAGGAGATGCCACTATTAAAGTCCGTTCATCCCAGCTCCTTGCGCTTTGTAACGACTATCTATAAGTATATTAGGCCCATAGTATTTATCAAGTTCAAGGTACAACATCATTTAAAAATCCATCAGGAAGAAGTCCCCCACCCTAATACCAAATAGGACAGGACCAGTTATCTTCAAGTCAATGCCTCCTCCTACCCAGCTCCCCAGCAAAAGAGATCAATTCCCAATGAATGCAAAGGAGTAGAGGGGAAAATGGGTCATAGGTGCAAAAAGCTCTGAAGCGAGCCAAAAATGGACAAGAAAAGACCAGCCAAAGAAGATAGGACCTGCCATGTATCCAAAATAAGTAGCCAGAGAAGGATCCCAGGGAAGAGAGTCTCAATGCAAAGAGCTCTGGATTGAGAAAGACCTTGCCCAAGACTGGTTCAATGTAAATCTAGGGATGGAGAACAATAGATCTACCTTGGCCAACCCTAACTGCTGGGCTGGGATGTAGGGTCAGAAGAGGCCTTCAGCTCAGAGTATGAGGAGCTTTAGAAGCTAATACTTGATACTGAGCTACGAAGCTATGGCTCAGTTGGCTTTACGTCCCTGACCTTATACGCATGGCAGACGGTGCCACCCACAATGGAGTGAGAGATCGATAGCAGGTCTTTCCATTGTTGATGCACTGGAGAGCACTGGGGAAAATGTGCAAGTTCTACACCTTTGAGCCACATACATTTCAACCAGACACAATAGTTGAGTTGGGTCCATCCCATCTGGAATAGACTGGGAACAACCTAATCAACTGCCATTTATTTTTATAGCATTTTGCATCCCAAGGTGCTTTAGGAGCTATCTATATGAACACACACACACATCGCATCCCCACTGAAATGCAGCCACTTCTGGGGTGCAAGGCAGCAGCCAGACACCCAGCTGCCACCCAGCAAGGAGAGTGGACATTTTAGCCAACGGACTAGAGCAAACTCTCTTTCACCCCCCAAAAGTGCCAAGAGACATCCTCACTCTGCCTTATTAAACTGCATGAAACCCACGTTCATGTCCTGTGAAGGATGAAGGGTTGCGTCAAACCTACAGGGATTTGAGTTCGTGGCACTGGGGAATCTATAGATTCTAAGTTTGATGTTTCAGATACTAAATTACTGCCCCCAGCAGTGTGTGAATTAACCCTGCGATACACGTGAGGAACCTAGTACCTAGTAGGAAGCCGTCATTCATCATCTGCATAGAATCATTGAATATCAGGGTTGGAAGGGACCTCAGGAGGTCATCTAGTCCAACCCCTGCTCAAAGCAGGACCAATCCCCAACGAAATAGTGTCTGTCCATGTCATATCTATTAATGGAGGAGGCTCCTTCAGGAACTAAGGTCTGGGGAACGCTTAGCTTCTGCAGAAGGAGTCTCTGAAATATTTGATGGCTGCTGTGTTAACCCTCCACTGAAAGCTCCCCTTTGCCAACCTTAAAGATGGGATGTTGACGGACAGGAGATTCTAGCAGAGCTGCTGAACCTGGAAGACCTGTTCACTCCTCTGCTTGGTGGATTCTTGTAGGGAGGTATTGTTTAGTCATTCTCACTCTTGCACAGTGCCTTACACCCTTGTTTCCTTGCCCACCCAGATGAGGCTCCTCCCCGAATCTAATAATAATAACAAAGTATTCACATAAGAGACCCAGTCATGGGCCAGGGCCCCATTGTGCTAGGCAAACACAGAACAAAGAGATGGTCCCTGCCCCAAGGAGCTTCCAATCGAAGTGTAAGACAAGACACAGCAGATGGGGACAGTCCGATGGAGGCGCACGAGGAAACAATGAGACCAGCATGATAGGTTGTGGTCTTAGCACAGCAGCAGCCGGGCTGTTGTCAAGTTTTACGCATTGCGATGTTCTCCTGGGTTTTCATTTAAAGTTCCTGGTTTGGATTTAACCCTTCCCTGGCTGCATTTGCAGCCCAGACAGCACGGCCTTGTGTGGGCCCCTTGACAGCCGGACAGGGAAATGGACTAAAGATGATGCCACGCAGAAGCCTGGGAGCTCAGCCACTCAGAGCAGGTGGATTTGGCTGCTGCATTCACTGAGCCACAGCCCCCGCCCCGGCCTTCCCTGAAGGGGCCCCCAAACAGCGAGTGTCCTGCCAAGAAGGGAGCCTTAGAGTGTAAAGTGAACAGACACTCTGGGCACGTCAGCACCCACCCTGGGCCGGTTATTTGCGGCCTGACTTTATACTTCTGCCCAAGGAAGATGGGGGGGAAAAATTTGGCCCATGACATCACTTTGCAATTTTTCTACCCACAACGCTGCGAGCTACACCACAGCCCTAACCTGAACCATACCCCGGCAACTGCCTTTCACTCATTCTCTTCAAGGCCCGGGGTGGTGGGTAGAGTCCCCCTTTGGGCAGGCTAGCCCTGGCTCCGTCCCTTCTGCCTGCCCCCCCCTCGCAGCCAGAGCCCCATCCCCCCTGTGCCCGGAGGAGCCCTGAATCCCTCGGCCAGAGGAGCCCCGGTCTGGCCGAAGCCCCGAGCCGGACCCCGCACCTGCCCAGAAGAGTCCCGGGCCCGCTGCAGCCACGCCGGGTCGCCCCTCCCCAGACCCCAAGCCGCCCGGGGGAAAGCATCTCTGGTCTGGAAGAAGCTTTTGCTATGCCCCATGCAGGTTCTGGGGCGACTGAGGAGGCGGTATTTGCGACTCCGTCCAGAGAGGAACCCAGGAAGCTGAATAGCACATACCACCTCCTCAGCCGCCCTGGAACCTGCCTGGGGCATAATAAATCAAAAACTTCCCCCCCCAAAACCCCACAACCGGGGGTAGCACCAGGGGAAGCACAGACCCCCCGGCTTATTATACCCGCCCCCCCTGTCAAGGCACCTTGCAGAGACTAACTAATGAACCCGTCCTGTATGATTGTGGCCTTTATCTGGGTGGGGAACCTGATGCCAAGAGATTAGGTGACTGGGGCCAAGGGAGTCAGTGGCCTTAAAGACACGTTTCAGAGTAACAGCCGTGTTAGTCTGTATTCGCAAAAAGAAAAGGAGTACTTGTGACACCTTAGAGACTAACCAATTTATTTGAGCATAAGCTTTCGTGAGCTACAGCTCACTTCATCGGATGCATACTGTGGAAAGGGTAGAAGATCTTTTTATACACACAAAGCATGAAAAAATACCTCCCCCCCACCCCACTCTCCTGCTGGTAATAGCGTATCTAAAGTGATCACTCTCCTTACAATGTGTATGATAATCAAGGTGGGCCATTTCCAGCACAAATCCAGGGTTTAACAAGAACGTCTGGGGGGGGGGCAGGAAAAAACAAGGGGAAATAGGTTACCTTGCACAATGACTTAGCCACTCCCAGTCTCTATTCAAGCCTAAGTTAATTGTATCCAATTTGCAAATGAATTCCAATTCAACAGTTTCTCGCTGGAGTCTGGATTTGAAGTTTTTTTGTTGTAATATCGCAACTTTCATGTCTGTAATTGCGTGACCAGAGAGATTGAAGTGTTCTCTGACTGGTTGCAAGGTAACCTATTTCCCCTTGTTTCTTCCTACCCCGCCCCCACTCAGACGTTCTTGTTAAACCCTGGATTTGTGCTGGAAATGGCCCACCTTGATTATCATACACATTGTAAGGAGAGTGATCACTTTAGATAAGCTATTACCAGCAGGAGAGTGGGGTGGGGGGAGGTATTTTTTCATGCTTTGTGTGTATAAAAAGATCTTCTACACTTTCCACAGTATGCATCCGATGAAGTGAGCTGTAGCTCACGAAAGCTTATGCTCAAATAAATTGGTTAGTCTCTAAGGTGCCACAAGTCCTCCTTTTCTTTCAGTGGCCTTAAAACTCAGGAGAACTCGGCACCTCCATGCTATGCTCTGGCTCAAGACTCCCCCATTTCTATCCTGGCCCTTCCTTGTGCAGAAACTGATGAGCCCCCTCCTCCTCCCACAAAAGGTGCAGTGGTTTGTAATACAGGCAAATAGGACCCAGGCACGCCGTATCATTTCCCTACCCAGGAATTTACAGCCATGTCTCGGGGAGCACTGAGCAATACAGCAGCCCCGGGTCACAGCTCCAGAGGCAGATTCTGACTTTCAGCTTGCACCGTAAACCTCCCTTTTCTGCAAGATGGTCGCCGCTAGCAGGAGGTTCAGCCATGCCAACGTAACAGAAAGTTTTGCTTTTAGATGCCAGGGCCAGAGTCTGCACTCAGTCACACTGGTGCGAGTCCTGCATCATTTCAAGGAAGCCAGTGGATCTACCCGGGTGTAAATGAGATCAGAATCTGGCCCACGCGTTGCATATGTTAAGCAGCACGTCTCGCCACGTCCCCTTGTAGTCTGCCCGGCTGAGCTACGCAGGCTCTCGCGGGCGCATGAATGATGTATGGTGTTCTGAAGCGCAGCACACTGGGCAAAACACCAGGCTGCGTTCCTTCTGCCTGGTGCCTAATAACCCGAACTAGAATTTGTGTTCCACTGTCCAGTGCCTGCGAGGGGCTGTGGGGTGAAGATTTGCGAGTTCAGGGACAGAGCCCCACAGAACAGGCCAGTCTCAGAGCAACCCATATGCTTGTTTTACCTGGTACGTTCAAGCAAGGGGGATAGACTGCCCTATAGAACTACAGAGACTGCCTTTTAAACTGACACACCACCACAGCCATCAAATTAAACTGTATAAACATTCAGATGAAGGGATCATCCCCTTGGAGCCAGGTTGTTGTATATTAACGAGTGTACGAGTTCTGATTAAAGGCACACTGGCCCTGTTTCTAAGGTCCAGCCCAGAGCCCAGCAGACAGCCGTACCCTAAACTGGTAAGAAATAAGAATATTCCTAGATCAGTGCAAAAGATCCACCGGACACACACACACACGTATGCGTGTGGATGGACACACACACACACACACACACTTTCTGTCTGTCTGTCTGTCTTTCTCTCTCTCTCTTTCCCTGGTTGGTTCTGTGACTGTGATCTGACCCTCTGATGCTTGACGGTTGGGTGATGCACTGTCAAAAAAAAAAAAAAAAAAAAAAGCCATCTGGCTTGGGCGTATCAAAATACCTGCTGCTGTGAGGCTCAGGGGTTTATGAAGCTGATGGGGGATTTCAGATCCTTTTAATTTAGCAATAGAATCTGTCTAAAAGTCAGAGGTATGGGGTCTTCCTTACCTTTCCAAAGGATGCTTAGACTGCTGTCTCCCACTTCCTAGGGTAAGTCTGCCCTTGGGTTTTCCTTCCCACACAGCTAGCTGAAGAATCTTTCCCCTTTTCCAGAGTTTCCTGAATAAAGCAGCTTTTCTAAGGGTCATAGGCCACCATTTTGCTCTGTACTGATCAGCTGATGGCCAATTTCACCATATAAGGCACCTGCTCCCCTGTGCCCCTGCTGTGGATTAGATGGATGCTAGTGACACAGTGAGCATGCTCCTGCATCCACCCTCTAGCATCACTACAGCATCACTGCAGTCACACAAACAGCTGAGACATACTGTAGCCAGGAGATTAAACCTTCAGGGAGCAGTCTTTCCTTGCTGGTGCCACTTAGGTCATTCTCAGCCTGGGTGACAGAGCTCAGCCCAGTTGTGTAGCAGTGGACACCACCCCTTTGCTACCAGGGAACAGGAAATTCACCCCAAGAACCGGCTGGCTACGGGGAACGTTCACATTCCGCCCTTTGTCAGGCGCTGAATTCACTTCGCCCAGCGGGGATCTTTGTAGGGACCGCCTGCACCTTTGTAGCCAGAGGGGCTAATGGCCGCTAAGCAAATACAGTTGCTCAGCACATCATCCGGGCTCCAAGGCAAGCCGGAAGGGACAGTCTCTGTGATTGGAGTGTGAAAATATCTTTAACTCAATTCTCCAACGCCAGCTAAATTCTGCCAGTCCAGCAGGGGCTCATGTGTCAGCTGACAGGCTTGGTTAGGTTTTATTTACATTAAAGGTTAACCTCTTTCCCTGTTTAATCCCTATGCAGTAGGCGGGAGTGTGGTCTGGCAGCTCGGCCAGGGGGCCTGGTATTCCAGACACCGGGGCTCAGTTCACAACGCCGCCCCTGATTTGCTGCGTGGCCTTGGGTATGTCACCTAAGCTCTTTGTGCTTCGGTTTTCCTATTCTGCAAAATGGGAACAAAGGCTATCGACCCACCTTGAGATCGAGGGGTGAAACCTAAGAGAAGTGCTACGTTACTATGACAAGAGAGCGGATTTGCCACAGCTGGAAAAAATGGAGCTTTGTGGCTCCTGCATCCTCATAGCAGTGTGACCTAGTGGCTAGTGCACTGGCCCGGGACTCAGGAGACGTGGGCCTGTTGGCCATTGTGTTTGTACAGCACCAAACACAATGCAGGGGGAGGGGGTTCTGAGCTCAGTTGGGATCCTAGTTCCTCTAAATGCTTCTGTAATAGAAATAACGACAACATTTGGGGGAGTTACGACTGCCGTCCGGTCTTGCAGCAGATCTCCGGTTCAGGGCTAACTTGCTTTCTCAAGAGCTCTTTGCTAGCTTGGGGCCCCTTGCCCCTCCCTGAAATAAGCGAGGGCTGTTCCCATCTTCTAGCAACACAAAGGCCTGGCTGAGTCTCATTCTTGTGCATGGGGAGGACGACGAGTGAACAAAAACGAGCGGGGTACCGTGGGCTGCAGACAGAGGTGCTTAGATTAGCCCTGCAGCTGGGATTTGCATGAACAGAACTAAGCTAATCATCTAACAAGGAGGACAGGAGACCTCTGACTACAGTGGTTGGCCTTGCCAGGGTACTGCACTTAACAGGCCGAATTACACAGCGGACCCACTGTCCTATGAACAGAGGGTGGCTGAAGCCCTGGCAGTAGCAATTCCGCTGCAGCTGGGAAGAGAGGATCGCTACTTGAAAGGCATCCCCACAGCATTCAGGCCGCGCCGCTCCACCCCATTCATCAGCGCCAGCTGCATGGTGTGTCCCGAGTGATACGCATGGGTGTAGCCAGGTGCTGGGTTCAAGCCGAAGACTGGAGCTGGGAGAGATGGGTTCTGTGCTAGGGGCCAGAGGCAAAAATTCGGATTGGATACGAGCAGATGCAACTCCGTCTTTCTCTACATGGCTGTCTGACAGCCCCGGTGGGGGATCAGTTGGGACCTGATTCTACAACTCATTATAGCATCGCGTAGCAGTTACTCACACAAATAGTCCCATTGACTTCAATCGCCTCATTGGGGCTGCTCGCTTGAGTAAGTACGTGCAGAATTGCTTTCTTTGAGGAGATACTCCCGGCACGTTAGACAAGAGAAGGAGGCATGTCCAGCTTGCTAACAATCACATGACCACTATGCCCCTCACCCTGGTATCTGAGTGCCCAAGAGGTGTGAGTGTGTTGCAAGATTCTTGCCACGCAAACATTTTGAAAAGGGCTGTGAGCCATCCTTGCAAAATCGCTGCTCTCTGAATGATGGTTTGCCTGAGCTTTGCAAGAACCTGCTTGTCAGACCCAGGTGTCCTATTGCTCTCTAGTATAATTCTCCCTGGCCTCTAGCTGCAGCTCTGCCAGAACAGACCTGGGGAAGTCCTCGTCTTGCCACTCCTCCTTCACCTCCACATTCTCCATCCGCAGCGTGGCTTCGGTGGTGCCCATCGTGCTTGGGGAGAGACTCTGGCCGCACTGGGTTTCACCTGCCGAGGGGCTCGGTCTGGAATAGGAGACACAGCAGCATGGGCAACAAGCTGAATGCTGAGCGTAAAGCTACACCCTTCAGGAACTGCAGCCCACCCTCAGCCCCCTCATAGTTCAGGAGCGTGGGAGTCCAGGGTTTTGATTCTGGTCTGTTCCAACATCAGAAGCCATTTGGAAAATTGAGCTCCAGACGTGGGTCGGGGTGGGGGAATGTTCAGATCTGACGTGACTACATAGACTTTCTACAGAAAACACAATGGCTTTATAAAAGCATGAGCCAAGTTGCAGTGGGGGAGGTTTAGATTGGATATTAGGAAAAACTTTTTCACTAGGAGGGTGGTGAAACACTGGAATGCGTTACCTAGGGAGGTGGTAGAATCTCCTTCCTTGGAGGTTTTTAAGGTCAGGCTTGACAAAGCCCTGGCTGGGATGATTTAACTGGGAATTGGTCCTGCTTCGAGCAGGGGGTTGGACTAGATGACCTTCTGGGGTCCCTTCCAACCCTGATATTCTATGATTCTATGAGCCAGCGAGCCCCGGGGCATGGTATTTTGGGGCTACTGACCCCCCTGATAAAAACAAATCAGCTGGTCCTGGAGCATAGGCTCTGTATAAAACGCAACCACAGCAAACTACTTATCGATCACCCTTTGAGATGCTAGTTCTGAGCAGAGCCATTGAAGGGATCCGCAGGGACCCAACACGCTCCGTTCTGTGGGGTATAGGCTCACCTTTCCGATTTTATTCTGCCGTACTGCTAATATTGACGTTAACAGCACGATCGCCAATGGAAATGCAATACAGGTTTAAAGGACAACAATACAAGATCGGTTTCAGGTTGTGTGCCAGTGACACCTGTTTCCATTTGGCTGTCTCCTGTGGATGTGAATCTCTTCTGTTGCACAGAGCAATTTCTGGGTGATGTTCTGTGTTTGCAACCCAACTAAGCCCCCAGCACTGAGAGAGGAAGAGAGGGGTCTAGGAGGAAGGCCTCCTGTGAGGAAGACGCTGGCTCTTCTTCACTCAGGAGATACACCTGGTAGCCTTGTGGCATTCATCACTTGTCCTGGGTCCCATTTTTATAAAAACGTATGTCAAACCATACAGGGACATGTCTGCGTAGGGGCCTTGGCTCTGTGCCCGCTTCCATGTGGTTTATACTGATGTAACTCCGTTCCCTTCCGTGCAGTCACTCCTGAGCCACGCTAGTGCAAGGGAAGGCAGAACCAGGACCCCCGGGCCTAGTTCTCATTTCCATTCAGGCCTCTGGCAGTGTGAAGGGGTCTCAGAGTGACTGTAGCTCACTCTTGCTTTGTGACCCCTTTACACTGCCGGTCCATGAGAATCGTGCCCATCCTATCTCGGGTCTGACCCTATATTCCTGGCCCACTTAAAGCTCGAAATGAAGTCAGTAGGAATTCAGAGTGTGCAAGGATTCAGGATCAGGACTGCATGTTGTCAGATCCTTTAGCAAGGCCCCATATACTCCTCTCTTGACCGGATTCCATTCCCATTGATCTCAATAGCAGCTGAAGTTAAAGGGAGCAGGATCAAGCCCACTGCCGGAGCTGAATAACTGACATGACACACCTGCACAGAAGCACGGTCAGCATGAAAGGTACATGAATGTTCAGGCTCAATCCAAAGGATCCAATATACATGAGGTGTCTGCGTATTTAGGGGTTGGCCAAATAGGAACATATTTTTAATACAACCGGCCAGATCCCAGTCTCAGTTACATCAGCGTCAAGCCTGAGTGACCCCACTAAAGCCAGTGTTGCTCCTCTGGCCCACTCGATGCTGTCTGTGAGCCAGTGCGGTTCTGGTGTCCTTTCTAAAGGGGGCCTCCATGATGATGGATGAGCGGGAATGCAGTTCTGTCTGCCTGCTGCTTTAAGGGGGTGAAGCTCTATGGATCACCAAGGAAATCCGGTATTCAGATTTACTGTGGGCATTGTCAGAGGTGGGAGCCAGCCCCAGAGGAGGCTGGCGGAGAGCTGTGTGGCGAAGGGTTACTGCCTTCTCCCCACCCTCCCTCCCTCTGTGCAGTGCTTCCTGCATTACATATTTGTCTTTATCCTGGTGCATTGCCGGATGCGCTGCTTGGGAAAGGAGCGTATTTGTGCTAACGGATGATTTCCTAGCATGTAGGAACCAGCCATGCCCCAGCGCCCATGCAGATCCCGGAGCGCTAATCCCCCTTCCCCAACCCCTTCAAAGCAGGATGGAGGAAAAAAACACCCCAGGAGCTGGACCTGGGGTCTCCATCATCAACCCTTTCCCCAGCAGAAGGGAAGCACGGAGGGCATCTTGTACTTACCCTCTGAGGGTCTCTTCTTGCTACTGAGGAACAAAGAAGCTCTCTCCTGTATTCCAGTTGGGCATTCCTCCTTCGGTAGCAGGGGGCTCCTTAGGATGTCCAGGATTGGAATAAAAATACCGCTGGGAAAGGCTGTCGCAGCTGGGGAACAAGGAGCTGCATCAGTGCTGGCCTTCAGTGCAGGAGCTGGCCTTTTGCTTTGGAAATGGATGGCAGTTATTTGTATTCTCTTAACACGGCCGCAGCCACCGCTGCTTGCTCTGCCCGGGGGCTGCCTCGGAGGTATTTGATTATTTGCAGCTCACAGCTGGCTAAGCCCCAGCTCCCTTAAGACAGCTAATTGCACTGCTTTTGTGTGCTGGGAAGGAAGGGGAGGGGTGTGGGGGTGTGGAGAGCTAGCAGCATAAAGCACCCCCCTTTTCAGTGCCGCGGCTCCTCTGATTGGATAGAGGACAGCAAATGTCTCCACAGCCTCTCCCTTGGCATCCTAAGCACCCCCAGCCCCTGGCAGGATCCGGCCCAGGAAGAGAGGGGCGGGGGAAAAGCTGTTTAAAGTAGAGCATCATTGGCTAAGGAAAGGCAAAGGCGGAGTGGTCCAAAGCAGGTTCTCTGTCCCCAGTCTCACAGTGCGCCCTCTTCCCCTCAGCATCTCTCTGCACGTGGAACAGAGGGGCTCTTCTTGCTGCTGGGAGCTGGAGTGGGGGTGGCTAGGAGGGCCACTGGGGTAGTGCGGACCTCCAGAGGGCTTTGAGGGAGCTGAAAAGAATCGGCTCTAAGGAACGGGGAGGATGGAACGCAGGTCTGTGCAGATGCAGCCCAGAGCAGATGGCAAGTGGAAATGGCACCAGCTGAAGATTTAGGCTGGGGGTGGGGGGTGGGGGTTAACAAAGGGGTCTAGGGTATCCAAACCCCACTGTCAATGGGAAGCAGGTGCCCGATTCCCTTAGGCGCCTATGAAAATCCCTGCTTCTGTTTCAGCCAGCTTTTTGGAAACTTTCCTTGGGCTTCCAGGAAAATGCTGTTTTGAATGCCAGGTGTTACTGCTGAGGTGCACATGTCCGTTGATTAATTAATTATTATTGATGATTTGTATCACCGTAGGGCCTAGGAGCCCCAGACACGCAGCAGGGCCCCCTGCGCGAGGGATTGTAAAGGCACAGGACAAGAAGGTGGTCCCTGCCCCACAGCTAACGGACTGGCTCCCAGCTGCCTGCATCCAGCACATCAAGTCAAGCTATAGTCTCTGAGATCATGCGTCCTGCCCCTATTCCTTACTGAATCCTCTAGCTAGATGCTATACTATGCTGATGGAACTACTGAGCAAATCTGGTCCTCCAGCCCCATCCTTGCACATGCATACAAGGTCCGAGGAGCAGCCGAATGGTCAGGGTTCCACTAGGAGGGGTCGTTGGGGTGGCATGCCAAAGACGGGTTGGGCAGGGTTCCGCATTTCTTAGCCATACCCATGTCCCTCCATCTCTTTGCGCTGGTTTGGCACCAACCCCATCATGCACAGCCCTGAAGTCCACGCTGGTCCTGCTGGATCCCAGCTACCCTTCTGCTGATGGTTGCATTTCACCTGCTGATGGGAGAGTTGCCAGGATGAGTTGGAGGCTTTGGGGCAGGAATCTTGCCAGCGATCATGACTGAAAGGCTTTTCAGGAGGAGCGTGTCTTGAAGAGCGAAGTGAGGGAGGAGCAGGAGGGAGTGGCTGGTCACTTGCGAAGTAGGAGTCCATCTGATGTGTCTTTGCTCTTTACACAACATTAAGCATAAACCTTAACTACGGCAGAGCTGGGTTCCAACTACAAACACTAACTGCAGTATATACAAACATACAAACCCCCGTTACACATACGCACCCTTGCCCTGTAAGGTTTTGGTGGCTTCTGCAGGAGAAGACCAGGAAGCTCACACACTATTTAAAGGCAAACTACCCAATTCCTAGGCACTACACTTTCCCAAGACCAATCTGGGACAATGAGACGAAGGGTCACTTTAGAACATGACAGCTCAGATATTGCTGATCAAAGTGGTGTGGGAATATCCAGCCGAGAGGAACATTTCAGTGTTTTCTTCTATTTTGTTTTTGCACAAGAAACATTTTCCTCTTTTGCAGCAATCGACACCTCATGCAAAGCTTATGAATGCCACCTACTGGCTCTTGCTCACTTAACTCTTGGCTCTGTTCTGCTTCTTAGGATCATAGAATATCAGGGTTGGTAGGGACCTCAGGAGGTCATCTAGTCCAACCCCCTGCTCAAAGCAGGACCAATCCCCAATATTTGCCCCAGATCCCTAAATGGCCCCCTCAAGGATTAAACTCACAACCCTGGGTTTAGCAGGCCAATGCTCAAACCACTGAGCTATCTCAGTCTGGTCATTTGCTAAAAATATGTGATCCTGGATTTAATCACTCCCACCTTGTTTGCTGTGCCAAAATATTTTAAATCCCTTCTTTGCTGAGACGACGGATTCATTCTCTTTTCATGTTGTTGTGCGTTAAAAAATATTGATCAATTTTCTTTTCAGCATTTTCATTTCACCTGGTCGTTATTTCAGACCCTGATTCTGCAGATGCTTATGCAAGTGCTTACCTTTAACTCCCATGACTAGCCCCATGGACCTTCATGAGATGACTCCTGTGAGTAGTGTTCCATACATGCACCTGTGTTTGCAGGATCAGGGCGTTAGCATAGCTGAGAATTGGCGAACAGGGGTTTGTTAATTTCCATCTCACTGTCTCAAGTACTTATCCCGCCTCCATCACCATAGTATCTGAGCATCTCACACTCTTTAGTCTCATGACACCCCGGGAGGTAGTGCAGCACTATTCTTCTCCTTACACAGAAGCACTGATTTTATATTGGTAAAATGATGTCAATTAAGGCTGTGATTTTTTTCCTGATATACCACTACAACCGCTAATGTGGACGCAGTTATACTGGTATAAAAGGGCCTTATACAGATATAGCTTGTTCCGCTTCCTTTGGAGGAATAAGTTATACGGGTGTGTAGCGGGATGGTCACCCGCTCCTGCCTTAAAAGGCTTAAGACCGCCCGGGGAGAGGGCTGTGGCAGGGAAGGAAAAGCGGGGCTGATTGGGAGAAGCAGCCTCAGCTGGGGGCCATGCCCCAGTCAGGCCGCACTTGGCTTCATCAGGGCCCAGCTGGCCCTTATAAGAGGGCAGTGGGCTAGGAGCAGATAGTATCTTCTCTAGCTGTCAAGGGAGATATATCAGGGGACCTGGGGTGAAGCAGGGCTGGGGAAGGCTAGAGGAGCTGGGAGGCTCCAGACTGGAAAAGCCCCAGGCTGTAGGCCTGGCAGATGGTCTAAGGCAGGGTACTGGGGTTGCAGGGGGCAGCCCAAGGGTAAGCGAAGGCAGCAGGTCTAAACCCCCTTGCCTATGATGACTGGCTTATACAGTCTGCAGTCGGCCCCAGTGAAAGGGGGCTAGATGGTGACTGGCAGTAGCCCACAGGCTGAGGCAAGGTGGGGATGGGAGTTCCCTGGGGAGGGGAGACCCAGATCTGTGGGGTATTGCTTGGAGGGGTGGCACCCCAGGTAAATAGGGCACCGGGGTCCAGGAGGGACACAGGGGCCAGTGAGACACCAGCAGAGCGTGCTCCGGAGCTAGTAAAAAGAGCTCATTCCTGGATGACCAGCAGGAGGTGCCGCTGGGTGAGTCTGAGCCCCATTACATGGTGTGACAGTGTGAACTGTCATATGGGGAGAGAACCCCCCCGACCCTCCAAGCAGCTGACTGCCATTAACCAGTCCTCTCAGAGGCTGCTGGGAGTGGGAGGAGCCTGGGTTCTATATAAGCCAGACCTTGATCATTCCAGCTTGGGAGGAGGGAGTGATACTAAGAAGGCTGGAGGTCAACAGCTCCAGAAAGGGGCAGGAGGCCAGGCAATTACCTGTGGGGAAATGTACTGGATCTGGGGAAAGTTGGGCATAGCCTCTCTGGGAAGTTTTGGACTTGCCTGAGAAGTAAGAGAACTTATGTGGAAATGGGACTAAAGGCTTTGGGTGTAGATGCTGATTGATTGATTGTAAGGGTGGCCTCAGGGGGCCCTGCAAATGGTCCCCTGCCTCGATTTACCTCTCCTGGGCACTTGCCAGGGCTGATCACCTGCATGCCTTCTCTATCATGGGCCTACCTCAGTTTTCTCTTTTGTTCTGGAGTCCCCAGTATCTCCAGCAAGTTTCCAAGCATAACTAGCTCTTTGTGGGGTTATCCTATAAGTCCGCCCACAACTGTAGTCCTGATCTCCCCAGCACAGTCCAACTTGTACAGTCATTCTTTCAAGGCCTAACACCAAGTAAGGCTCCAGCATCTCTCCCTATGCCTCTGGCTCTCAGGTACGGCTCTGGTGCCTTCTTCCAGCTGGGGGTACTTCTCTACCCTGTTTCCTTTGCAGGTGTGCCTCTAGCACTCACCCCTCCATCATTCCCTAGACTTCAGCCCTCTCTGGCATTGGCTTTCTGGCCCAGAGAGCCAGCAGGCATCTGTCTCTGCAGCTGCCAGCCGTCAGCCCTCTCTGGCCTGGGGAAGTCTGTGGGTGACCCTGACCCCGACTGCCTGCCGCTTTCACGAGACTGATGTGGGTCCACTACTCGCTGGAGATCTGACCGCTTCCTCCTCCGAGGGCATCCCCTCCCTGATGCTCTCAGCCCAGCTCTTCTGAGCTCTCTCTGCTCTTGGGACTCTGGACTGTCTCCCTGTCTGAATTCTAGGACTGTCTCCCCTCTGCAGCCCTGGTGCCTGCTTTTAAGCCCAGGTGGAGTGAGCTGGTGAGTCCCAGGCACTCTGGCCTTGCCCCTTCAAAAGGGCCAGTCTCACCCGTGACACTGATACATCCCTCTTGTAAGTACTCCCACTTTCTCACCGGCTTCCGTATTTCTTCTGAGGTGGTCAGCTCAGCTTGGTGAAACTCGGTGTGGTGGGATCTAGGGCTTAGCCACAGGGCCAAGATATCTAATTAGCGATCGTCTGCCAAACTCCCTGGGGCTGGTGAGAATCCACCAGTTCACAACTGGTGTAAGCACCTTTATACCAGTATAACTGTGTCCACACTGGGGGATTGTACTGCTTTAGCTATACTAGTAGAGTTAAAACTGTATAACTCTTGTGTGTAGGCAGGCCTATGTGATGTGCCCAAGGTCACACAGTTATGCCAGGGGTTCCCCAGCACTGAGCCTGGAGCCTCAGAAACCTGGGAGTGCTGGTGATTAACTGGGGCTCCACTCCTGGGTCTGCAGCAGGGAGCCTCGAAGCCTTGAACGCTGGCTTAAACTGGGGCTCTCTTGGCTTCCAAGCACCCTGCCATTCACAGCCTAGCTTGTTTTGGACACATTGCTGGTTCTGAAGCAAATTTTG